TGGCTGAGGTGAGACAACCTCAGTCCGTTGATCTGGCTCAGATCAACGGCCCCAGGCAAGTGACGAATTTTGCCTGGGGGCAGCTGAGGCTGCTGCTGCCCTCTTCAGCCACTACAAAAGAGGCAGCTGTCCCCCAGCTGCCTCACACTTGCCTCCGGCTGCCAGTTTGCGACAACACACTTGCCTCATTGCTGGAGTGTTGGAGAGGAGGCAGGAATGCTGCCGGCGGAGCTGGAGGACTGCAGAGGAGCGGAGTGACGAAGGAGGAGACAACCATAGCCTTGGCTGGAGCACTCTGCTCCTCCCCTTGGCAGGCTGGTCTCTGGTGGGACTCTGCGACAGCATGGTGAGGAGCGGCAGCGGAGCGTGGCAAGGAACAGCGGGGAGCACGACAACTGGTGGAGGTGTGCCGGCCGATATTTTCGGCGACCATAACCCATTTTTGTGGGGTTATGCTGTCGAAATACCACGGCGTCGGCATGACACCTTTATTCTGAGGGGTGACGCTGCCGTTTTGACGGCATGTTGGCGGCACTTTGTTTTGAAGAGTGACGCTGCAGTTTTCACGTCACGGTAGTATAACGCGGCGAAGTGCTGCCGGTTTTTTTTTTACGGTCGTACGGCATGGCGGAGCGCTGACGTTTTTTGTGAGGTGGTACGACACGGCGAAGCGCTGCCGTTTTTTTTACGGTGGTCTAGCACGGCGAGGCGCCGCCGTATTTTTTCTACGGTGGTACGACACGNTGAGGTGGTACGACACGGCGAAGCGCTGCCGTTTTTTTTACGGTGGTCTAGCACGGCGAGGCGCCGCCGTATTTTTTCTACGGTGGTACGACACGACGGAGCGCTGGCGTTTTTTTTGAGGTGGTACGACACGGCGAAGCGCTGCCGTTTTTTTTACGGTGGTCTAGCACGGCGAGGCGCCGCCGTCTTTTTTTCTACGGTGGTACGGCACGGCGGATCGCTGGTGTTTTGTTTTTTTTTAACAAGGCACAGAGCGACGACGTGCTGCCATTTTCCGACGAGAGTTCAGTACGGCAGTGGAACTGCGGCACGACGGTGGAACGTGTGTCGCAGCAGTGGAGGTTTTTTTTACGGCGCTGAAAGGTTTTTTGTTGCGGTGCGACGTCTGCTTTTCTTGGTGAAGGTCTGCTACCATTGGTGTGTACGACAGGAGCAACGTGACATGGTGGCAGTTCACGGCATGCGACGGTACGAAATTTTAGCGTGACAAGCGGGTTTATTTTTTTATGCAGCATATGAAATAAATGTTTTGTAGATGGGACTACCCAACACTAGCAGTAGTGAGGGACCACTTGGGACCG